TCAGGAGTCTCAAATAGCTTAAAGAAAATGAGTGGAACAAGGATGCTACACAGGAACATCCAGCTATCCACAATCCCTCCTTCACCTTCCCAGCAACATTCCCTGAGCTGCTCAAATATCACAACCTCTGCAGCTGCACAGTTTGCAAGGGCAGGATTTGCAACTGGACACCTCACAGCAAGGATCAGCAGCTGGAAAGGAGCTGCTGGAGTCTTTCTCCTTCCACCAAAGCTCAGAGAGGAAGGGATCAGCAGATAGAGGGGGACCAGCCTCATGTTCAGGGAATGCAGCACATGTGTCATGACACAGCACATTGGGGAGGAGAGTCCCAGGTTTGCAGCCTTTCAGCTGGATGCCCAACATCTGGCTCTGTGTGTCCAGCTGTGCATCCCAAAGAGGTGGTCAGACATTTGTGTTGGCATCTGGGCAGAAAATAGTTAAAAAGGCACAGCTACTAAATGCAGGAGTTCAGGTTTTCCCTTCACAGGGAAGAAAATACAAGAGGTTGCTCCCAGTTGGTATCAAGGACACTCTAATGGGAGCAGTAAACTCCCCACAAGGCCTGAGGTCACTGAGTGCTTCCTTTACAAGCCTCCACCTTCACATGTTCCAGCACTTTTCCAAAGTCCATTTATTGTGCTATTGCCCAGATGGGCTAAATTCCAACCAGCGGGACCCAAACAATTCAGGCAGGGCACAAAGAACTGCACAGGAGCCTTTCTCTCCTTCTTACAGCCAGAGATGAAGAAGAGAAATCCATCTGGAAATTCACCAAGCAGAAATCCTGTTTGAAGCTGCTCCTCTCAGAGCTGCAGAAGCTGGGTGAGATCAGCACATTTCTCAGGCAGTGCTCCAAAGCTTCACCTTCAGAAAGCCCTCAGTCTATTTTAATTACCGACCTCTGAGCATCCAGGACAGTGGAGCAGCAGTTTCTGCAGAGAAGGATGTGCAGTCTCTGCACATCAAACACAGCAGCCCAACTTCATAAGGTTTTATATCAAAAAGCAGAGTGTCAGCCCTGCACAGCTCACCCTGAAAGGCAGCCTTGCTTTCCAGGAGCCCTGCACACACTGGGACTGAGTGGAGGCTGCCTGGATTGCTGCCCCATGGCATCTGCAGAACACCTCACCCCAGAAAGCCTCAGCAGGAAAGGCAAAGCTTTGTACATGCCACAGCAGAATCCCAGCATGGTTTGGGCTGGAAGGAACCTTAAGGTTCATCTCATTCCACCCCTGCCATGGGCAGGGACACCTTCCAATAGACCAGGGTGCTCCCAGCCCTGTCCAGCCTGGCCTGGAACAATTCCAGGGATCCAGGGGCAGCCACAGCTTCTCTGGGCAACTGTCCCAGGGCCACATCACCCTCACAGGGAACAATTCCTTCCCTATATCCCATCTAACCCTCTGGCAGTGGGCAGCCATTCCCTGTGTCCTGTCACTCCTTGCTTTGTCCCCAGTCCCTCTCCAGCTCTCCTGGAGCCCCTTCAGGCACTGCAAGGGGCTCTCAGGTCCGCCCAGAGCCTTCTCTTCTTCAGGTAACCACTCCCAGCTTTCCCAGCCTTTCCTCACAGGAGACAGGCTCCATCATCTCTAAACACACAGGATTAGGGTAGAAAGTGACATTTCCCATTTCCCCTCCTTCCTCATAGCCTTAATCAGCACAAAGCAACACAGGAGACAAAAACATTGTCCCAACTTGTATCAAGCACAGCCAGAGGCACAGCTGGGCGCTGGGAGCAGCCCCTGAGTGCTGCTGCCAGTTTGCAAACGTGCTGGAGGCCAGGCCTGTGACAGCCCCCGAGGGACCACAGCCAGAGCCATCTGCTTCAGCATCAGCTCTGGGAAACAAGTAACAACAAGTGCGGGCTCGGGTGACTCAAACAGAAACACAGCAGGTGATTTTCACAGCACCAAACACCACGGACAGCCTGATGCTGAAGAACTCCTCACAAAAAATAAGAGAAGCTGAGCTTTGAAGCCTGGCACTGCCACACTTCCCTTCCCAAACTGCTCCTGGGGCTTCTCCCTTCTCTGAAAAGGCTCTCATGCCAAATCCTTTCACATCCAACAAAGGATCAGAAATGAGGTGGATGATCTCTCCTTTAGCTAATACAGGTACCTTACCCAAGGCACAGGAAGAATGCAACTGGATATGGAACATTTTAAAGATAGTCAAGAAATGAAGGTAAATTTAACACTTTAGTAAAACACATTGCTGGAAAACACCAAACAGCTCAAACCCTTACTTCTGCCCTTTGCAGAAGAAAGATTAAATATTTTCTTTCCCCCAGTCTCTTTCAAACCAGACAAATCCTGATTATCTGAGCATTAACAAAGAGTCAAGAGACAGACAGTGAGGAAATTCAGGTTACTGAAGGGTGGTGCTTTCTTGAAGGCCTGGAGCAAACAGTTCCAAGTTTTGCTGTCAGATCCCCATCTCAGGAGCAGGGCTGGACACAGAGGGGCTCGAGCCCAGATTCTCCTCCTCCTCTCATGGAGGAGACCCAGCCCCACCATCCATCACAGCAAAGTTTCCTTTGCTCTCACCCCAAGGAAAGCAGACACATCTCCCGGAGCAGGGTGCAGGCTCAGGTGTGACACTGGGGACACTCTCAGCCGGACCACGGTGACACCAACAGCGCACCAAGGCCGAACCAAGCCAGGAGAGCCCCGGGGAGGGACAGGGGACACGGATCCCGGCACACCGCGCTGGCCGTGCGGAGGAGGAGCCCAGGGAAGCGTTTGTTGTTGTGGAACAACACTTCTCCCTGCCGAGGGGGTGAGAGCCGCTACTACGCTCAGGCTGCAGGGAAACGGGTCCCAACACAAGTGCAAACACTTATTTTTACTTTACCCCGCACAAAACCAAAATCTCTACCACCAGCAGCTTTGCTAGAGCCCTCTGTGAGGGTGATGCGTGGCTGGGTCGCCTTTTTACCCCCGAGGACACCTTCTCACTGCTCCAAAGGCACCCTCTTACCCCCACGCTGCCTTCCTCAAGCCCTCACACCAGCCCTGTCCCCGCTCCCGCTCCGGTTCCCCCTGGGCAGACCCGACCCGGCTCCGGCAGAGCTCC